GAGAGAGAGAGAGAGAGAGAGAGAGAGAGAGAGAGAGAGAGAGAGAGAGAGAGAGAGAGAGAGAGAGAGAGAGAGAGAGAGGCCCTCAGCTTGGACCCTCATGTGGATGTGGGACAAACAAAACAAAGAGAGGGTTGGAGAGACGCAGTGGTTGTCAGAAAGTTCACCGTATTCTCTTCAGCAGGACAAACATGGAAGAGGTGGGCTTAATCTCCTCTGTTGGCTCAGACAGTATCATCCAGTTGCAGAGCTGCAGCCCTGGCAGTTTCAAACCTGAAATAATGGACCTGATTGTTCTAGTCCAGCCTGCTGTAGCCAAGGAAAATAACAGCTGACTCTTACAACTCAATTTGTTTCATATAGCTGTTGTTCGTGGTTAAAGGAAAAATAGAGCGATGAAAAACACCACCATAACTATAAAGTTGTGTGTCTGTTGTTTATCGATACAAGAGTTGACTCTGGACATGTGAGCTATTCTCAAGACAATCAGCTTGTTTGAACGATGTCCTTAAAAATCGTAATATTGGGTCATTGATGTTTAGAGACTGGGAAAAAAAGCTAAATTAATTTACAGATCTTTAAAAAGCTGCTCATTTAACTTAACTTATATATTATTTTTAATTTAAAAAAATAATAATTTTTTAACCAACATTTTGTTGCACACCTTAGTGGTTGTGTTTCCTTTCCCAAGAGGACATATTTTGGTAAGCCTGCTCCTCCTGAGATGACTACAGCTCAGAAATGCTTCCACTAATATATAAATAAAAAACTGCGTAAAATTAGATTTTCATAAAAAATGTATTATTTCACTCATATTCGAAATCACTCATTGTTGAATAGCGAGGCTCCCTAGCGCCCTCCTAGCCTATATGGGGTACAGAGTGAGTTTGTACGTGAGTTACGAGCTCTTCACTTCAAATACAATGAGGATACTCTGTACAATAAAACCATAGAGCTCAAAGCGTAGGCCTGTCATACATTTTCCAATGATGAACTCACAAACGTTCAATACAGTCCGTGTGCCGATGGTGGAGACGGTGCGCGCGCACGCATGGAGACTCAAACTCTCGTTGCGCGCGCGAGATGCTGGGGGTTTAATTGCACACGCACGCGCACACGTGTGCACGCGTTTCGGGGGCTTATTGCGATTGCGCTCTCGCCGTCTTGAATTTGTCCCGCGGATGCATGCGAGAGAGGTGAAGCGCTCCCGTCTGCAAAGCTCTGCAAAAGTGAGCAGGGCTCGAGGCGACGCACACCGCGGAGAGTCCACAGAAGCGGACGTGGTGAGCGGAACCGATTTCTGAGGACACGAAAGTGCAAGCTGTAAACAGAAACGGCAGCCCCCCCCCCCCCAAGCATAAGTTATTATTCCCAGTGTTTTTTTTTTAGCACGCACGCCTCCAGAGAGCTAATCGGAGGGGGGTCGCGTGCGGGGTACGCCGCCTGCTCATGCTTTGACCAGGACGGCAGTCAGACTCTACCGTGCGCCCCCGGTGATGGACCGCCGGTGATCCGGAGAAGAAGACCGAGCCGCTCTGGACGTCAACAAGTCCACCTTTGCATTGAGAAAATGTGCTGTTTTCACATGGAGGAGGGGTGGGCACTGCTGTAACGCCGGCGGAACATGGCAGGAGTACACGCTTCAGATGTTGTGTCGGGACATTTTCTGGATCCCACCGTCGGCGCCCCGCCGGCCCAGGGCGCGACCAACACTGCGGGAATCACCGGCGACGCGGCCGCGCTGACTCTGACCGGTACCCGGGCGTACTTGGAGGTGTCGGCCGCTGCCCAGGGCTACGGGGCCGAAGGAGTTTACACCAACGGGCGGTACAGGGAGCAGGGCAGTCCACGGATCGGGAGTGGCAGCCGTGATCATTCCGCCGAGAGAAGTCACCAGGGAGCTGGAAACGCACCGTGTGGCATCATGAAGGTTGGTTGATTAAAACAATAAATTATCCTCGCCAACGATCGTCAAGGTGACGCGAGGGGAATTCGCTAAGTGGCCACATTATACAGCGTAACAAGACAATAAAAGGTTATCAAATGTGTGGTAAGCCTATAAGTAAACTGTGGTCCAGACACTTTGCAGGGGGTCCCTAGAGTTCCACCGGGTACCCCAGAAAAATGAAGTTTAGCACATCAAGCACCCGAATTAGTCTTCATGCCCCCACAGAGGAGACAACAGAAATCCACTCATCAATGATAACGAATGCTCAAATCTTCACCCAACATCTGTATTTTGGGTCCTATAGGCATATGGATGCCCCTGCATGCTGTGTGTCAAACTCACTGATGGAAAAAAAAAGCAACACTTTGACATGAAGTCATGTGCTTTAATCATCCACAGATCCTATATAAACCCCTCATATGTGCAGGGTTGCATCTTTAATGTCAGTTCAACCAGAAGCTAAAGGAGCCTCATTGTTTTTGAAACAGCTGCAGTCACCTTGTTGTTACTACAGTATACAGCATGCACTTAACACACAGGGCTGTACAGTAACACGCCATTACACTGTGGAGAGATGCAGTGTAACATTCATCGTATTCTGCTGTGGTGTCTTGTGTTCGAATGTATTACGCAAATAATGTCTGTTTTTAGTAGAGTTGCAGTGCACTAGGGGTTAATTTATTAACTCTTGACAATGCAGCAGTAATGGCAGGTTTATGTGAAACAGATGCTGCACAGAATTCTGTGTGCTTTGAAACTTTTGCGTCGTATAAAAAAAACCCTGATATGTGGGCCACTTCTCTGCATATATAGCTCCCTCAGTTTAATGGATGGTGTGATGTTAATATTTTTAATGGTGGCCCGGCCCGCAGCGCTCCCATTACCGGAGGTTAATTAACCGGTCTTCCACACACCGACACGGGCGAGTTTTCCCTCATAGGATTTATATAATACTCACCAGCGTTGCATTGTTTCTACAACACGGAGTGCACCATGGGGTCCTTGGTGGAGATACGAGTATTGCGTAGGTGGGGACACACTGGAGAGTTGCATTCTGTCATATCGGACCTAGTTTGCTTAGCAACTGACACAAAACACTGGCTAATTCTTTGTTGCCCCCATTATTAGATTCCCTTTTGGATGTCGTGCACCGTCCCACAAACAACATGTCTTTGAACGCAGACACTGTCAGCGGTTGATTGTTGTCAAACACAGTGAGATTTAAATTCATGTACAAATTCCCTCAGCCTTTACGTTTGTATTTACAGTGGAAACATTTGTTCTTTATGACAAAAAAAAAAAATCTGGAGTATCACATGTCTCCAAAGCCCTGTACCCCCCCCCTCTACAACAATACTCTCTCAGAGAAGTGCACTTACGTTTCCAAGGCTCTTCTTCCCGACGTGAGAGGCTGACTTTTAGGCTGTGAAATTGTGCACAGCTGGTGGAATTCCCCTCTATTGTGTTTCAGCTGCACTTATGACAGTTTTCAATATAACTGTATTTAAGAAGTGGACGTAGCCATCGTGACGTCACCCATTAGTTGGTGGACTGCCGTTCTAAACCTCGATTTCACCGTCGCCATCTTGGATTACGGCCGTCGCCACGTTGTTGTTTTTCGCAACCGATGAACGGAAGTTACCATATTTGAAATGCGGAGGAGTGACGTAGAGACGCCGGATACGGCTCTGGTAGCGGCAGCGACCTGTCAATCACAGTAAGCCCCGCCCTAAAGCATACTCAGCTTTATGGTCTGTTTGACTCTAAATGGACCATCATTTACTAACTGAACATCATGCTGTATTGAAGAAGACTTGAAACTAGAGATTGAGACCATAAACTCATGTTCACAATGTTTACTGAGGCAATAAATCAAGTGAGAAATAGAGTCATTTTCTCATAGACTTCCATACAATCTGACTTCTTTTTGCAACCGGTGGAGTCGCCCCCTGCTGGTCAGTTGAGAGAATGCAAGTTTTAAGACACTTCCGCATCGGCTTGACTCGTCAGAACCGGATGTTGCCGCCTGGTTTAAATTAAACACTATTATCAAACCACTGCTTTTTGATATAATTTCAATAGATTTTAATGTACAGTTTTTTAAAACTCGACTCGACTGTGGTTTCAGTCACTCTTGTCTGGTGTTGATCACATGACAGCCTTGTAGAACAGGTTTGAGCATTTAACATGCACATAATCAAGGTGAAACACTCCCGTCACAGAGCCTGGCATATGTCTTGAACCATTTGAGTCTGTCTCATGTTCAAGCAGGTGCGACTAAACAGGGTTTGATTTGCCCGAGCACCTCCAGAAAGGCACGAAATGATACGCACTGTTCAAGCAGAGCATGTGTTGGGAAACTGGGTCAGCCGTGCTTCATGTGTAGCTTGAGCACAGCCACCCACACTTGAGCAGCAGCACTGTTTCTGCCTGTGTGTGTGTGTGTGTGTGTGTGTGTGTGTGTGTGTGTGTGTGTGTGTGTTTGAGTGGAGGTTTAAAAGGTGAAGGGGCCCGCGGGTCCGTGGGAATTTTGGAAGCAAATGAGCAATTACCGCTCTGCATTACCTCATTGAGTTGACCCTCAACAAGCGAATCTTAGAAGAGAGGAGCGCTTGTGTGTCTGTCCCTTAAGCGGGCATGCAACTTTGTCCTCGTGCCATTTCCTCAGCGGGGGTGACAGTGTCATGGTGGAGAGGCTGCAAAGTGGCCAGAGGGGGGGGGGTTGTGATGCAGCCTTGTTATGTAACGCTGGACTGTGGACAGCTGCATGGCTGGCTCCGGCGGCTCCGGCCTGGCTGCTGGGTGGAGGCCACTGACAGCTAGCACAAGTGAGGAAGGAGCTGGATTTGATCAAGAATTTAAGAGTGACGCATCTTATTATTGCTGCTTCTCTCCCAAGCATTTGCCATATCTTTCTTTTCTTCCTTTTTTTCACCCCCCCCCCTCTTGGCTGCGCTCAGAGTCCTTAACCGTCGCAGCAGATTAAAGGTCAGACATTTATTTTCAGAGATCTGCAAGAAGAATGAAAAAAGAAAACATTCAAGGTTGGGTTAAAAGACATCAATGATGTAACACTGTTATCATCAATTCATGCTCCTATTAATGACCTCATATAATAGATATGAGACAACATGGCCGTGCCTGATTGGCTGATGGAAGGGTCAAACCTGTCAACTGACAACATCCTAGAGGGGGAGGTGATTATCAATCAGTCTAGATGACAGATTCAACTAAAATTGGTATGTTTAGTTTGAATGGGAGACTGTAAAAGCCATGTTCTTCTGTCACTAAGGACAAAAAAAAACAAGCCGGAAACTTCTCCAAACCTTTCTCTGGTGAAGTGATGCGTTCTGCCACACAGAAACAGTAAAAATGTTAAATAACCACAGCCACTGAAATGCTCCTTCCACTCTCAAAGTCGCCCTCCTTCACTCACTGACCATTTAAATAGACAAAGCGGTTCACTACCGTGTTTGACCACCTCTGGCCTTGATTACAGCTCCCACGCATCGTGACTCAACAGAGGGGCCAGTGTTAAAGCTGACCATGCAGACACGAGTGCCTTTCATAACTGCCCAAGGTTGATGGGAGGCTGGTGTTCTTTTCATGGTGCATTCGAGTTCATCCCCGCAGGGTCCCAGCGAGATTGATATCGGGGATGGTCGCCAGGTCATTTTTATCTGAATGCTCCTAGAATCTGGAGGATTTCTTCGTTGTGACCGGGTGCGTTATCGTATTGAATATATCTGTCCCCTTTGGGGTTCATATTAGTGGAACTTATGATGTGAAGCTGTACTGCGTTATCAAGGCATTGTTTTTTTTTTTGCAGGTATTAATAGAACCTGTGAAAATAATTGGTCCCTGAACCCTACACACATCTATAGCGTGAAATGAACTTGATGTAAATTAGTTGCGGCACCCACAAATGTGGTCTTTTTCTGTTATTACACTTTTCAGCAAATTTGTCAGTTGTCGCCTCTCATGCAAATGTGTGGAAACGGAGCTGTCGTAGCATACGTTTGTTTGTGTGCTGACATATAGAGCAATGCACATAGAAAGGGAGGGCCCACTTCTTCTGCACAGCATGTTGTCTCCTACATCAGCTCCCCAATGCCACCCTGGGGCCGCCCAGATCTCTAGCTTTGTAACCAAATAAAGATATTTCCTCAATATACCCCAAAAGTGTTTTAAACTCAGTTAAGCTGTAAATTGAAAAAGCTTAAACTTCAATTTGATTGCGGTTGTTACATATTACCTTCATGAACTGACCTCTACATTCAACGCGTCCGTAGCATTTTTAGGAGCAGTGGGCGACTGAAAAGCGCCCCGGAAACCAACTTGGTCAAGGACACGCGGACAAGGAGGAGCTAGGAATCAAGCTAGGAAGCTAGGAATCAAGCCGCCAACCTTTGGATTAAAGGACGACCTATTCCCTGAGTCAATAAACAACATGCTGTATTTGTCAATGATTGAATGATGTAGGCTCGGCAAGATCGGCTTTACAGATTGTTCAGTAGTTGCATTGTGACTGCTGGTGTTCTGTATCTTTAAGCATCAGCAACACGTGGATTCGCATCAAAATTATTAGTCGACAGGAATTGTCTTATAATGTCAGTATAGTGCCAGCTGACAGTCAAAAAAACTCTGCACGATAGTAATTGTATTTTATGTTTTCAGAGAGCCTCTCGGTGAAAGAAGCAGAAGTAATTCACAGTGTCTGACTGTGACATTGGAAAAGTTAACACTTGAAACCTGCATGGACACGTAGCTGTAGGGGACCTGTCAGACAGGAGCAGTGTCTTAAATCTCCACCCCCTGATGGATCCAACTGTCAGGCTGCCTCTGCTGCTGGCTGTTGTTTAGCTAATGTGCGATTTGGCTGATCCCCCTGGAGGACTGAGGACACCTCCGTACGAGCCTGAACTTATAACACCGATTACATTTAGTGGGATCATATGAGATGATGATGATGATGATGAGAA